CTGCTGATTTTGTTATCTGTTTAGTTTATGGCCATTCAGCCACTTAATGCATCTATCTATTATCTATCTGGATCAATGCTGTTTTCTAGTGGTACTGCATTTTCCTTAAACACATGCATCTCACAATTTCAGCCTGCACTATTAATTTTTACCTCCTCCCCGAAATCTATGAACTTGTGACATGTTATCATAAGTTTTAAATACACCCAGAGGGAAATTTTAGTTATTTAGTGTTCCTGTGGCCAGACTCTGTTTTTCATTCTCCGTTCCTCTCTACAACAGCTCGCTACTATTAATTTCATTCAAGCCAAATAAGACATCAAGGGACAACTCCTCCAATGGAGCTTTTGTTGGTGCATAATATTCCCAATAAGTAATTGGGGAAAAAAAATTAGTCCACCAATTTGGCCAAGAATTTTAAAAAGCGATTTGTACCTACTGCTGATTTTAATACATGCTCACATTATCTTCAAGGAACTACTGACTTGATCCACAGTGCTTCTTGCAATAGCAATAGTGCTTAGATTTATATACTGCTTCACAATACCTTACAGCCCTCTCTAAGCGGTTTATAGAATCATCATATTGCTCCCCTACCAATCTGGCTCCTCATTTTACTGACCTCGGAAAGATGGAAGGCTGAGTCAACCTTGAACTGGTCACGATCAAACTCCTGGCAGTGGGCAGAGTCAGCTTGCAATACTGCATTCTAACCACTGCACCACCACACCACAAAGGTATTCAGAGAAGTCTCAAAAAAAAAATCACCGAAAAGCTGAAAAGTGTCTATACCAATATGCTTATAGATGCTAATTTTAATAGCAATAGCAGTAGCAGTTAGACTTATATACCACTTCACAGTGCTGTTTTTGTACGTGCTTGGCCAACAATCTTAGTAGCTGTGAGATTGAATGTATGTCCTTGTTCACTGCAATGTGTACAACACAGATAAACCAAACAAACGTACACAATAAGAAAATTTTTTTAAAAAATAACGGCATTCAAAAATAAACCCCATCAAAGAAAAGGCAAACACATGGTGAAGGATTAATTATGTGTTCATTTTTTTCCCCTACCCTGGAGTAGACAGCTTGCTTCTAGCATATTTTATTTTTTCAGTCTTTCCACAAGAGTAAGTTGACCAGTTTCTTTCTCATTTTATGAGAAACAACTATATAACTATATTTTATGTTTTGCATTGTTCCAGATGGATGCGCTTAATGCTGCTTTTCAAATACGCTTTCTTCTAATATTTTTTTTCCTTTGCTGGTTCCAGCATGCTATCGTATGCCTGACATTTAACTACTCAGCTTTTTGTCTTCTAGTGTTATATTAATATCATGAAAAGATTACTGGTTTCTGTTTTATCTGTCAGATTAGTTCTTCTCCTGTAATTCTACATTATTTAATTTAAATGTTCTCTGTGTGAATCTTTTTTTCCTTTTAATGGTCCATAAAGCAATAAACCGCAAAAACCCTACATAAATCTAGCAGCAGATCTTACTGATCTCTGTGGGGCTTATATATGAATAAGGATATTTAAGTGTATACTGTCATCCTATTATCTGAAATTGTTATATTTTTCCCCCTATAGTATGGCACATTTCTTCTATACCTGGAAGTGAATCTTACTGAATTCCATAGCAATTATCAGGAATAAATTTATTTGGAAGTAAGCTTCCTTAAGATCAATTGGATTTTTAAAAACAACATTGATAGAAATGGGATGTTTTCAGTAAATATCATTTTAATCTCCCTGTTTCATGCTGTTCTTTCAGCTACACCTGTGTTGTTTATAATTTCTTGCACTGAAATATTTTTTTTTTTTACTTCTTAAATAATAGTATCTCAGTATAGAGCATACTTTTTAAATAAGCTAGTGAAATACAGATTCTGTGAATCTCATGCCTTACATTTAAGATCTAATAAAGTCTACCTAATGACCTTATAAGATATCTTATTAGGTAGATTTACCTTATTTTCTCACGTGGGTTGTTTTGCAAGGAAGTTTTTCTTCAAAAGAAGAAAGAAATAGTGAAACGTTGGCAGGATATGATGCTTTTTCATTTACTTAATCACTAAGTGACTAAGGCAGGTTTATGAATATGGCAGGTCTACCTTTTTCAACTTTCTAACTTTTTCATCTCTCTGTGATACAGCCTCCATCTCCAATTGTGATGAGTTTCCTAATCTTTGACCCCCATTTATGTTTATGTTCACCGAACCATGTTAATCTTCATTAACCTTAAATGAGTCGAAGTAATAAATTTACAGTAACACACCAGAATCTGCTACCTCTGGATGAGTCTGCGAGAGTGCCATTTTTTCCCCATCTGTTTCTAAGATGTTGAATCAACTTGATTTATAAGCTGAAGACCAACCAGAGGGGCCTTGGTCAGCCAGAGGTCTCCTGAAAAGTTGATTATGTTGGGCTGGAATTATTGCGCAAACATCTTCCTACTTTGACCTGACAGGTTTATTTATTTACTTATTTAGAAATGTATAAAGCTGTGCAACTCTACCATGACTCAATAAAAACACTCATAAAAATTATATATTTTTAAAAAGAGGCAAATATTAGAAGAAAGACCAGACTTTTTTTATTTTATTTTATTTAAATCAGACACTTCTACTGTAATCTAAGACCTGGAAAATAGCCAGGTTTCCGAGTTTTTTAAAAACATAACCAGGATAGGAGTCAAACATATCAGGGAAGATGACAAGGGTTGTGACATAGGAGGCACACCACACACATTCCATTGTGATCATTTCGCCATCTGAATTATATCTCTAGGTAAGAAGAGGAAAAAAAAAGCAGTCAGGGAACCATTTGTGCAACTGTGAAGTGGTTGAAGAATCAGAGCATCCTAGCATCATGTAGAAAGAAATCATATTGGTTTTCTGCCAGTAGTCATTCTGGCTGAAGACAGAAAATATGGTTGAAATTATCATGGGTGGTGCAAGTTGTTGTGTGAGTGTGTTTCACTGTACAATTCTCTCTGTCTAATAGTCTGCAGCCACCCTGGCTTTCCATTCCACATTTCCATTCAATCCCAAGGGCTGATTATTATGAATATAATGATAATTATTATCAATAATAATAATAATTGCTAATGATTATATATCATGATCAATTATTATCATTGTCAATTTGATAAGGAGCGATTTTTCAGATTGGGAACTATGGCTAATCTGGTAAGCTTCAGAGTGATGGAAAGGGGAACTCACAGAAAACACAGCCTTGACTTTGGACAATACAATCAGATCAGGGACAAAACTGAAAATAAATTCTCAAAAATTCTTGAAATTGAAAGGGAAAATATGGTAGACCTGAAAGCTGGATTTTGACATCACATTAACATGTGGAGATGGGGAGGGGGCTTGGTTCCTCGTCCATCTGCTGATTGTACTTAGAATAAAGATCACCCACAAACCGCATACAAATCCTTTTAATTAAGTTCAGGACGCCCTGTTCTGTCTAAAATGTTGATGACTGTAGGATTCATTTGCAAACAAAATCATGCTAAAGTGTGAAAAGTAGACCATGGCTCTAGCGAGAAAAAAGATGTACTAAAGAAGGTTACAGACATTGTTCCAGTTCTCTTTAAGGAATTAATCAGCTATGTTTATAATGGATTTTCAAAGACATGTACATATACATCACTTTCCACCTGCTGTTGGCTATAGCCCTGCTCAGAGTTTGTGCCTAATCTAGAACTGTCTAACAGAGAACTGTATAAATGTTTCCTTCTGTACACACAGACAGTTCTTAATTAATCAATGCATCGGTTTGTTATAAAACCGGTGTAAAACTCCAAACTTCATCAGCAATGTTGTGTAGGCAGAAGCCAGCCAAGACAGTGAAAAACAGACCTGCTCCCTTTAAAAAAAAAAAAAAAATCCCACTCAGCCAGGAAACATGAGCTCTTTCACTAAGCCCACGCTACTTTAGATATTTCTGTTTGATTCTGCAATATTCCTTTGAATTACTGTTTGAAACTCAGTAGTCTCCCCCTTTACCCTCAACCTTCAATATTTCTTGTCTAATGGATCCACTTGGTGTACAGAAACAACCTAAAAAGAGAGAAACTAGTTGCAAAAATGTTCCTCTTTCCAAGTGTCCTCAGGGGTTAGGGATTGATGCAGATGTTTCAAGAGCTGTGCAAGCGTTGATGCTTCTGAGGCATACAACAACTCTTTAATCTTGCTGGCTATACTGTCATCACTGCAAGGCACATAAAAGCCAAGTCATCTTCTAAGGGCTGTAGCTGCAAGTTGCTCATCTTTTTGCAAGAGAGCTTCAAATGGGTTGACCCTGCTTTACCCATTTTACATTCAGAAAAAATCTGCCTGGGGGAAAAAAAAAGCAAGAGTAAGAATCAAAATATGTTCAGTAGAAATGGATGAATTAATAGAAAAGGGAATTAGACTCTGGAGAAAGTTGTATTATCTGTAGAACCTGCATCAAATGAGATCAACATGACTTAAAACAATTTGCAACCAATCTTTCTTACGTTCATCTAAAGTGATTTTCTCATTTGGGTTACTGATCTTGGAAAGCTAGCCCAGAGAACTTTTTCTGGGTGTGTTGATTTTCTATGGTGCTGGAGATCTCTGGATCAAAATTTCTAGTACTGAAATTAGTACTGAAAGAGTCCTGATGGCACAGTGGTTAAAATGCAGTATTGCAGGCTAATTCTGCCAACTGCCAGCAGTTCGATTCTGACTCAGCTTTCCATTCTTCTGAGGTCAACAAAATGGGGACCCAGATTGTTGGGGGCAACCATCTGACTTTGTAAACTGCTTAGAGAGGGCTGTAAAGTGCTATGAGGATGTATATATGTCTAAGTGCTATTCCTATTTCCCTGTTTATGATCAGTTAGCATTTCATGCTGAAATTCCTGGCCGAGGCAAGATTATCTGGAAGGTGCTGGGATTGTATGCAAGTGGATTCTTTTCTAAATCATCTAGACAGTTTTCCTTTATGTTTGCCAATGCAGGTTGGGGGACACACCATGCTACCAATCCGCTGGATGCCTCCTGAAAGCATTATGTACCGGAAGTTCACCACAGAGAGCGATGTCTGGAGTTTTGGAGTAATTCTCTGGGAGATCTTCACATATGGAAAACAGCCCTGGTTCCAACTGTCAAATACAGAGGTATTATGCATATAGATTTTAACTAAAAGAAACATTAATGTGACTGCCAGGTCCTGACTAGCTGAAGGTTGATTCAATCTTCCATCTTTCCAAGGTCGGTAAAATGAGGACCCAGGTTGTTGGGGGCTGACTCTGTAAACCACTTAGAGAGGGCTGCAAAGCACTGTGAATTGGTATATAACAAGTCTAAGTGCTATTGCTATTGCTACTGCTTCAATTTTCCCAAGTGACTAAATAATTTTGAAAACTGAGAAATGGGCGGTTTGTTGGAAGAATGCTCTCTATTCCTGGGCCTAATTTTTTTATTTTGTTTTTATTTTTTTATCCTGCCTTTATTACTTTCACAAACAATTCAAGATGGTGAACATATCCAACGCATATTCCTCCTCCTATTTTCCCTAGGCTAAGAGAGAATGACTGGCCCAAGGTCATCCATCTGGTTTTCATGGCTAATGTGGGACTTGAACTCATAAGTGTCATGCTTTGTAGCATGGTGCCTTACCCACTAGACCAAACTGGATGCCTTGTATTAAATACATATTTAGATAGATACATAACACACATTTAAACATACTATATACAACATATGTATAGACCTACACCCTTACATATAAATAACATATAAATATTAATCACTGTCCATCTTGAATATATAATGGAAGGAGGAAGCTTGAGAGTTCACAAGGTTAATGCTGTATGGAATGAAACTGTGGCTGAATCTGGATGTTCTGCTACGGATACCACAGAGCCCCCCTTCCAGAAGATAAAAAGGAAAACAAATCATGAAGAGGATGTGTAGTGTCCCAGATAATCTTACGGACCTGCTCAAGCAACCCTTCTGTGCTATGTCCTGGATGGGAGGGAGGGAGCTGCCAATGATCTTTTCGGCCATCCTCACCACTCTCTGCACCGCCTTCCTGTCTGAAGCAGGGATGCTTCCAAACCAGACTGTGATGCTGTATGACAGGATGCTCTCGATTTTCATGCGACGCAGAAAATATATTATATCTAATGTATGGTTCCCTCAAGTTATTGAGAAAGCCCGGCATCACCATTTAAAATATTATATGCAGACATACACACACACATGCAAATACACACCCACAAATGTAGGGAATGGTAGAATGCCCATGAATAATTTGAGGGGAAAGAGAACATGGCCCCCAATTTAACAATACAGATCTGAAAAGATTCTGGAAGTATGACTTTTGATAAAAGTCGACGTGTTGAGTTTGTTTGTGCTCATTTCTGAATAGCACAGGAAAGATACAGAAGATTTTAAACCCACAGTCCAGGATAAGGCACTTAAAATAAAATGGACTAAAACAAATAGAAATTCTAGACTTCTAATGCAAATCAGTCCCCTGCTACGTTTGTTTTCAACATTCCACAAGAGTAGAAGCAGATAAGCCTTTGGGTTGTGCATAATGTTTTTTGGGAGGCCAAGGGCTACAATAAATGAAATAAAGATGCAGCATGTAGGGTTGACAGGAGTATGTGGGAATGACCAGGATTCCTTGTTTTCTTTCTTTCTCTTTTTTACTTTGGGAAGGAGGCTATTTTTGATTGATTTAATAATTACATGAAGCCTACCTTATGTTTACATTGAAAATAGTAGGAAACTGAAATCCATGGCTTGGTTTGAAGAGTTCTAGAAAAGTAATGGTGGCTTTCTATTTATAGAACCCTGGGATATAAATTGGAACATTTCTGGGTTAGGTCTGTTGTGGTCAGCTTCAAATGTTGGGAATTGCCATTCTATGTTTTAGATTGGAACCAAAAATAAAAACAAGAGAAAGACTGTGTAGCTAGGACATGGTTTGAGTTGTGATATTGTGATAGCTTTAATTAAGGTTTATGGGAGAAAGAACAGCTGGAGTGTAAGACATAAAATCTGGTAACACATACTGTATTGAGCCATAATGTTTATTGTCTTCTTTACCAGTGGTAATTGAGGGTTAATGTGATACATGGATTCTTGGGAGATTCCTGATTTGATTTTTCTCCTAGGCTTCTGACCAAGGCATGCATGGGTAAGACAAGAACACAAGAGCAAATAAGCCACAAATTAGCCCAGAAAGCCTTGATAATTGTTCTTGTCTGCAAAAAAAAAAAAAAAATCAGTGATTTAAATAAACCATGTAGGAGTGCACAGCTTTTTTCTCCAAAACCCAAAGTCATCGTGCAATTATGAATTTTCCAAGTCTGTTTAAGGAATTGTTGGTACAGATCATATTTGATGACTGAAATCTAGAAGTGTATTCTTTAGCTCAGGGGTCTCTGACCTTGACAACCTTAAGACTTGTGGACTTCAACTCCCAGAATTGTGGGAGTTGAAGTCCACAAGTCTTAAAGTGTCAGACCTGCCAGCACTTAAACCTCTAAATAGAAATGATCCTTGACTCCTTTTGTTGAGAAAGATATCATTTTATTAGAAGTCATAGTGTGTTGCAATAATACATAGCCAGAACTCAGAATCGCACACCAAAACCCCTAAGTTCAACCTTTCCCTCCCTTAACTGACCCCTCCATGACCAATTGGGTTCAAGCAAGATGTTTTCAGAATGGTCTTTTCAAGCTTAGGTTGGTACATGGCTGCCTTCTTCTCCCAGCCAGGTGACCTTGAAACATCATCTCGGAGAAATAAGGCAGTTACTTTCGCTTTCCCCCAAGCATTCCCTCTCCCATCCACCCCCATCTGAGTTCATGGCAGACTATCACTTCATGGTAGTGAAGCACACAAGCAAGTATAAGGTGGGCAGTTGACCTTTAAAGTTACCAAGGTTGGAGACCTCTGTGTTTAGTTCATGCAGACGGGGGAAGGAGTTTGGTTTGAAAAAGTAAGAGATCAGTAAATTTATAAGGGAGACATGACACAAAATTAATCCTCTGTGTTACCTGTTGCAGGTCATTGAGTGCATCACCCAAGGCCGTGTCCTGGAGAGGCCCCGGGTTTGCCCCAAGGAAATTTATGATATCATGCTGGGATGCTGGCAGAGAGAACCTCAGCAGAGGCTGAACATTAAGGAAATCTACAAGCTTCTCCATGCTCTGGGCAAAGCCACCCCAATCTACTTAGACATCCTTGGCTAGCAGCAACCAAGCTTTGAAGTTGTTGCTGTGTCTTTTTTCTCCCCACCCTACCTCTCCCTTGACCTCAAGCCAACATATTCATATAAACTCAAGTGCCTGCTATACATACAACACTGAAACGAACAAAATGGAAAGAGACAAGTTAAAGGGAAACGTGGAAAGCCTCAGTCGTATGTAAGGCAGTTGGGGCTATAGACAAAGAGAGAAAGAGAGAGAGAGAGCGAGAGAGAAAGGAAGAGCCTTCGCTCCCGTAGCTGCTGCTATTAAAAATATAACATCCCAGAAGCAGAAGGAAAATGTGAGAGGGATTGAAAGATTTCTACAGTATTAAAAAGAACATGAGGGAAAAAAAAAACAATATTTAACTTAAGATATGGAATTGCAAATCCCACAGTGTCCTTTAGATTCTTGCTATTGGGTAGAGTTCAATTCACTTGGAAACATTGCACAACAACAACAAAAGAAAAGTTGAAGAAAGTGTGCCTAATCGGGCACCGAACTGGCAATGGTCCTGTTATTCCACGACGATTGTCCCCTGGAGTAACTTCCTTTTAAGATATCTCATCTACCATCTTAATACCATCAACCCCACCTTGCCCTTCTGCTTTAACAATTCTGGAACCTCCGTTGTCTCCAGCATATCTCATTCTACTTCAAGGTTTCTGATTCTCTCCTGTGTGCAAATGTTTCAGTTTTGGAATATATACCATTCGGAAGATTCACTTCACTTACTGGTCAAATGAAGCATCAGAGGAACTTCCACCTGGCTGCAAAGAAACAAGAATGGATCTAGTATTGTTTACCTGATTGTTTTCATCTTTCCCTTCCTTTTCAAATGAGAGTCCTGGAAATAATCTCAAGGACCCAAACAAATCTCTGCAATAGCCATATGTGAAGAAAGCTTATGAAGTAGATATCTTGGAGACAAAATCCCAGCAAGTCTCACTGGAATAATTCTAGATATGCAAAACACAGATACGGCAATTACAACTATTGCATTGACAACTATTGACCCAGCTGTCAATTCCAACGAAGTGGCTTGAGAGCCATGATCTCAGTGGAGGCAGTCCCCCTAATTTTATATATATATAAAATTCATAGTGATTTTTTGCTGCACTTTCCCCCCTGCTTCTTGTAAAGAATATTTTACAGTTCTGATCTAATCCAACTTCTCATCAATCCTATGTCTGGTAGGTAATCTGTCCCCATTCTGGACATACTGGAAAGAAAGAGGTATGTCTGAAGGCTCCACAGAGAGTTTACGATGAAGCACAAAGTAGAATCCAAATATTCTCTATGTTTACTTCCTCTACTGTGACCTGGGTCAGTCTGTATCTCTTACCACTTCAGTGAGGAGTGGATGTTCTCCATGGTTGTATCTTAGAATCCAGCTGAAATATTAATTGAAAGGGGCTGGGTCCCCTCTGATCAACCCACGGTGATTCCTCCTATCCCACCTCCCTCCGTGTTTCTCTATCCTCCCCATCCTTTCTGCCTTGGCTTGCCAACCGATTTTTACCCAATAAACTTACCAAAAAGAAAACCCAGGGTTGGAATCTGTTCAGCAGCTAAAAAAGGCATAAACAGCTGCACCTCCCCTCTACCTCTTCCTTTCTAGTCAATATTCCTCTCACATTAGCAACCTCCTGAAAAAACTGTTGCATCTTCTCTCAAGACACTGTGAATGGAGCTCCATAGGCAGCTTGGCAGCAAGGTGGGGAAGAAGGTAAGGAAGGGGCTTTAGGAGATGGCAAGCTGTGATGGACAACGGAAAGCAAATTTGGGATGAAAGGAGAGAATAATAAAAAGGGCCTTCCTGATCATGTTTTGTTGGGGGGGTGTTGAAAGCTAATGGAGAGCGATCAAGTCATTGGCTTATGCAGTTGGGAGATACATGAAATATCTTTGGTTTATTTTGCTCATGTCAGATTGGGAGGAGAGCATTTCTTCTCTACAGAATTTGGCTGTGGTCAAGCTAACCTCTTGAGACAAGTCTCCCACAAAGACTAAATGAATAGTGGGAGGCTCAGGGTATCAATGGGACTTTTTTTTTTTTCAGTCCACGTTGCTAAGTGAAATGAATACACTTTGCACTTTCTGGATGATGGGGCAGAACAGAACACCGCTATTCTTCTGATTCTGCACTTCTCTGGAATTTGTGATGCTGTTCTTAACCCAAAACGTGCGTGCAAAAGGAAAGGAAAGGAAAAAAAAAAAAGCATGCGTCGGGGAAGGGTTGTGTACAAAAAATATGTATATCAGGGAAATAAAGCATACAAAATGAATATACTAGGGAATTTGCGTACAAAAATAAATGCCTTCAGGGGAGGTTTACCTGCAGAAATGACATGGACTTCCGATGGAATGGACTTTCAAAGGAGTACGTGAAAAACGGAAAAAAACACCATCTGATCTTTACATTCCTGGGTAAAATATGTCCAAGAGAGAAAAATACTGCCAGAAGAAGCCTCTTCTCCAGCCTCTTGACGGAGCTATTTGGGTAGCTGACCCAATGTTTGTGCCTCAGTGGAAATTTAGACGTGGCCGAAGCTTGCACTCGTTGTGATAGTGAATGTTTTCTTTTGAAATGAGAGGGTTCAGGGCAAAGAGTGGGGAGACCAATACAGAACAGAGGTTTGTCGAGTTAGAACCAAGGAGTGCAAAAATTGGCTTAAAGTGGACTCCCCCAAGTTGCAGCACCTAATTCACTTGGCTGATCTCCAAAACGTTAAGCACATTTGGATTAGATTAGTAATTGAATGGGAGACCACCAGGAAATGTTAGGGGTGTGTGGTCCATGAAGTCAACTGGAACTGAGTTTGACCCCAGAGAGTCTTTATATCTACACTGCAGATATAGATATGTATTTAACCATCTATCCCTCTCTTTAGGGACTCATAATCACTGCATATCTAAGAAGTGGGTTTGGAGAAGTGAAATTTCTTAATACGTTGTTATTGCACTCTCACCAAAACACAGTTCTCAGGATTCTTTAGGAGAAGCTGCAACATTTTTAAAAAATTGTATTGAAATATCTAGGTTTGTAGCGAGTCGGTGTCCTTAATATATCTAATAGCTTTGACATCAGTGTTGAAGGCTTAGTCTCTCCCACGTTATGCACATTGCATAAGTGAACTGAGAATGCATTTGGATATTATTTGTTCCTGGACCAAAGGGGATCTAAATAATGAACCCCCGTTATGTAGTTATCTTGGAAATTAAAGTTACAAAAGGATTGTGCACATCTGGGAGGAGACCAAGAAATCCTTGAGAGAAACCATGTGCAACCTTCATTTAATCTTCCTTACAGATTATTTTGTCTGCAATACCTGTATGTTTGACCAGCTTTAATGAATGGTGTCATTGGCTGAATATGTAAAAAGCTTGGGTTTGTGAAATATTCCAGGTCACCACCATTTTCATCATTGTCATGATCATCACCATCATCACCACTTCTACCACACTACCAATTTCTGTAATATTATGCAGAGCAAGAAACTTAAAAAGGCACAAATACCTAAGAATCCTGCAGTCTCAAATTTGAGAAAAAGAAAGAAAGAAAGAAAGAAGAAGAAGAAGAAGAAGAAGAAGAAGAAGAAGAAGAAGAAGAAGAAGAAGAAGAAGAAGAAGAAGAAGAAGAAGAAGAAGAAGAAGAAGAAGAAGAAGAAGAAGACAATAACAATGAATAGATGGACTTCGCATTCAACTGGCGTTATCAAAAATCGTATCAAACTGGGAAAAAAAATCAAGAATATGTTTAGGCTTTACCCTTTGCCAGTTTCTTATAAGGATATAAGAAGATCATTTTGTGGGCATCCAAAACACAAAGAGGTGCAATTGATGCCACTTGTTGGATTTTAAATCCGGTCCTTCCATGAGTCTCCTATCTGACTTATCTTGCTCTTTGGGAGACAGGAGGAAATGGCACATGGGGAAAGGAACATCTTCTTCATATCTGGGAAATAATATAGCCTCTGTCTAAATCATGTCTAGAGAAATTAGTGGTGGAGTGGTGGGAAAGAGTGAAGGATTTGTTCTCCTCCCCCAATTATTCCATTGACACATTAGGACTGAATTCAGTTTTCCAGTTTTAAACTAAGGTCTACATTGAGAAAAAAAAAAAAAAGAACCATTCTGGCTTGGGAAACCACTTGGAGCTGTAACCCATTCATTTTTTCATGAACACATTTATACACCTAGGAACACATGCTTTCTAAGAATCATCGTGGAACACGATGAAGTTGATTCCCTCCTTGCCTCTAAGGATCCTTATCCTAATGTTCTTTCTTGGGTGCTATTAAGTAGAGAGGAAACAGTAAATTTGATAAAGAGTTACTGATGAGAAGGATAAAGCATCTCTCCTGACATAATCTTGATCAAGATTGCTGTTTCTTAGCAGCTAATGACAATGGATAAAGAACAATCTTGATAAGGTTCATTGGGGGAAAGGACGGGGTTAAACAGTTCCTTCTCTGCTTGCTTCTCACCAGTCATCTTTACCACAAAGGATGGGTTTTTTTTTTTGCTGTTAACAGTATTGAGGAGGTTTGTTGCCTGCTCAATAGATGATTAGCTGTTTTTGCAAGGAAAATAGTGTAGGGTTTGCGTGTATGTGCATATGTGCACGTGCACACTTTCCTAAAGTCACCCTCTCTCCAAAACTTCTATACATTCCCCATCTGTTGTCCTCTTTTAAAAAAAAAAAAAAAAAAAAATCTCAGTTCCACTATTATGCCATCTGTCATCATTTGTCTGGAGTTTTTATTTCATATTGGAACAGTCCATCTTCAAATACTGCTTGGGATGTAAAGGTTATAATATGTGCGATGCATGAAATGGAAATGACAGCAACGTATTTTGGATGTGTGGGAGGCAAAAGGCAGTGTTTTAAAAGTTTGGTTATTTAAAAAAGTGAAGCCAAATCGTCTGTATTAGGAGAAAAAGAGTTGCCAAGATGGAAATTATCTTATTGGGGGCCGTTGCGACCATAAATAATAAAAGCAAACATAAATGACCAATAAGAACTTCTTTTGACAGAAGAGTTGTTAAGAATTCCATGATATCATCCATGTGTCTTGTATTTCGCGTCATTTATAAAATCTTAGTTAGGTGGAAGAAGACTTATGGAAGGGGTGTTTTTTGTTTTGTTTTGTTTTGTTTGAATTCTCCGAAGTGGCTTAATACAGTTTCACCATTTTCCAAACATAAAGTTTAAATGCTGTGAAATCTCCAATATCTTTCCCACTGCCAACACTGACTCACAACTAAGGTGCTTAAGCACCAACTTGGTGAACTTTGCGACTGCAGTGAAACTTGAATACATTTCTGGGAAAGCAAACAGTAAGGATCTCAGCAGGAGTATGATAAGGTGGTCTCTAACTCCCAGAGCTTGTGTGATGAGCCAAGTTCTGAGTAAGCAGAAAACTGCCATCCCCTGAATGAGTTTTACTTGATGCTCTGCCATTTGGCAGTTCCAGAAGCCTTGCAAATTCGACTAACCCACATCTCTCAAGAATATGTAGATTTCAGCAGAGTTTCTTGTGCTTAGAGGCAACCCAGATTTTCGTCAGTTCATCTGCTTTTCCCCTTCACAGTTTGCTGCTGAAAACAGAACGATGCTATTATTGTTATAAAATATATTTATAAAAATAATAAAGTTGGAAGAGACCTTGGAGGTCATCAAGCCAAACCCCCTGCTCAGGCAGGAAACCCTATACCATTTCAGACCAATGGCTGCCCAGTCTCTTCTTAAAAACTTCCAGTGTTGGAGCTTTCACCACTTCTGGAGACAGGTTGTACCACTGGTTAATTGTTCTGACTGTCAGGAAATTCCTCCTTAGTTCTAGGTTGCTCCTCTCCTTGATTAGTTTCCACCCGTTGCTTCTTGTCCTGCCTTCAGGCGCTCTGGAAAATAGCTTAATTCCCTCTTCTTTATGGCAGCCCCTGAGATATTGGAATACTGCTATCATGTCCCCCCTCGTCCTTCTCTTTGTTAAACTAGACATACCCAATTCCAGCAACCGTTCCTTATATGCTTTAGCCTCCAGTCTCCTAATCATCTTTATTGCTCTTCTCTGTACTCTTTCTAGAGTCTCAACATCTTTTTTACATTGTGGTGACCAAAACTGGATGCAGTATTCCAAGTGTGGCCTTACCAAGGCAATGTAAAGTGGTATTAATACTTCACGTGATCTTGATTCTGTCCCTCTGTTAATGCAGCCTAGCACTGTGTTGGCTTTTTTGGCAGCTGCAGCACACGGCTGGCTCATACTTAAGAGATTGTCCACGAGGATGGGGATTCGTTTGTTGCATGGCCCGTTTTCTGGCATTCTGTGGGCTGGGGCTGGTTCATGGACCAGTTGTTGGGGACCCTGCTTTAATACCACCATTTTGCTCTTTTTTTAAAAAAATATGAAAATGTCACGCGGATGATCTGCAACTTTCAACAGTGTGCAGCAAGGCCCCCAGTTTGCTCCCACTGCAGTTAAGTATCTGTCACGGCAGGACCGCCTTTTGGATGTTCTGCTGTCATGGTGGAACTTCTGCCAAATTCTGCCACCTCATACCTGTTGTGTTGCAGCCCAACAAAGTTTTTGAGATTCCCATTTGCTCCGTAGCCAAGCACCAAGCTTCAGCAGGAAGGAGGAGGGGCAGGAGGGAACCCATGAGAGCAAAGGTGCCATTTGCCTTTCGCACAGTTGTGCTCAATTGGAGTTTCTCTAACATGAAAGGGAAGAAAGGCTAGAAGTGGGAAGCAGCAATCAAAGAGGAGGAGATTTCATTCTGGGAGGAAAAACAGAAGAAGAAAGGCAGGGCCCAAATGTCAGCTTTTCTGGCACAAAGTACAAACTGCAGTAATACACTCTGAGTGATTTGTATTGTTTAAAGGCGAGATTCTGGACAAGTGTTACAGAAAACAAATAAATCTATCAACACACTCCTCCCTCACTCCCTCCCTCCCTCTCTTTCTTCCTTCCTTCCTTCCTTCCTTCCTTCATTCCTTCCTCCCTTTCTCCCTCCCTCCCTTCTTTCTTTCTTTCTTTCTTTCTTTCTTTCTTTCTTTCTTTCTTTCTTTCTTCTTTCTTACTTCTTTCTTCCTCCCTCCCTTCCTTCCTTCCTTTCTGTCTTTCTTGACTTTCTTTCTTCCTTCCTTCCTTCCTTCCTTTATGACTTACTTCTTCCTTCCTTCCTTCCTTCCTTCCTTCCTTCCTTCCTTCCTTCCTTCCTTCCTTCCTTCCTTCCTTCTCTTTCTTTCTTTCTTTCTTTCTTTCTTTCTTTCTTTCTTTCTTTCTTTCTTTCTCTGTCTTGCTTTTCTTTCTCCCTTCTCCTTCCCTGTTTTCATCCAATTGCCAGTTGTAGAAAACAAGCAAACAAACCCTCACAACTCCTAAATTCCAGGCATGACAAAAGAGAAAGAGAGGTGCTCAGTATTAAATGCAGGGTGCTATCAAACGAATATACTTGCTATTTCTTTATGTTTAGTCTCATCTGCAGTTAGGGGTAGATTTACTGCTGCTAGTTTTGTGTTTGTTTTATTTTAGTAAAAAGGCATTCTACATCCTGTTCTGTTCTAGGCATGGCGGAGATCTCTTGTTTCTGATGTAGATTGCCACCTTTGTGCAATTAGATTGTGTTAAAATCTGTTGAATCTGAGACATTTTACATGCCACTGCATCTGTGGTCCTCTGAACCACTAACCAGCCAGCCACACAGTTGTGTTTGTACATGTGTCAGTTAATCATTTCATTTGCTGTGCAAATCCAGTAAACCAGAGTTAAGCTAACCATGGCAAACACGTCATGCCAAAACATGAGTTAGTGGCTGAGAATGTGTTGAAGGTAGAGCTTCTGAAATTGGCTTTCTGTGATTGTTTTATTTCTTGGATCAAATGGACACTGCTCGTAGCCCAACAATTCAGGGATTGTAGCTTATCCACAGGGCTTTCTTCGTGACACTGCTTTCTGTATGTACCAAGGCAAATGGAGAGCCTTCTTCTCCAGTGCCCTTGGGTTTGTAAATGTTCTCTCAATCTTCTCCATCCAACAGAGATCTGTTTTCCTGACACAAGAAGCAGCAGTCTCACTGCCTCCTGTTTCCATAACGTCGAACAAATGCAGAGCTAGAAAACACACACAGCAGAGAACAATTTCGTGCTACCTGGGGGAGTCAGACTGGGTTATCTAATAGATCATTCTCATCTCTGCCATCTTCGCTGCCCTGTTGGCCCCAATTTCAAAGCCTTCTTTGTCCAATCAGACATTCATCCCACTCTTTTTGATTCCTCTCCCTTTTTTTTTTTTCTTCCATGAACTCTTGTTGGGGAAGGAGACTGGCGAAGCATAAATAGCTGGCAATCCCAGCCTGAGACAAATAAGATTTCCTGACACAGTCCATTCTGCCAAGCACGTTACAGGTAGTCCTTGGCTTAACGACCACAATGGAGGCCCAAATTTTTGTCGTTAAGCGAGACATTTGTTAAGTGACTTTTGCCCCATTTTACAGCCTTCCTTGCCACAGTGGTTAGTGAATCCCTGCGGTTGATAAGTTAGTAACCCAGTTGTTAAGTGAATCCGGCTCCCCCTTCCATTGACTTTGATGGTCAGTCACAAAAGGTGATCATGTGATCATGCAACGGTCATAAACATGAACCAGTTACCAAGCCTCTGAATTTTGATCTCATGATCATGGGGATGCTGCAAAGGTCGTAACTGTGAAAAATGGTCATAAGTCACATTTTTAGGGCCGTTGTAACTTTGAACAGTCACTAAATAAACTGTTTTAGGTCAAGGACAAATAGTAATCTGTGTCCTGAGCAGAAAATATGCTGAAGGATGGAGGTCTGTGGTTGTTTCATGCATTTTCACAAACTACATTCAAGTGATGCAGCTTTGACTGGGCTGTGTGGATATAGGAAAGTGTGTTTGTGTGTGTATGTTTTTTCATGGCATATATAACAACAACAACAATAATAACAATAACAATAACAACAACAATAATAATAATAATAATAAAAGTTGGAAGGGACCTTGGGGGTCATCTAGTCCAACCCCCTGCCCAGGCAGGAAACCCTATACCATTTCAGATGAATGGCTGTCCAATCTCTTCTTGAAAACTTCCAGTGTTGGAGCATTCACCACTTCTGGAGGCAGGTTGTACCACTGGTTAACTGTTCTAATGGTCAGGAAGTTTCTCCTTAGTTCTAGGTTGCTTCTCTCTTTGGTTAGTTTTCATCCGTTGCTTCTTGTCCTGCCTTCAGGTGCTTTGGAGAATAGCTTGACTCCCTCTTCTTTGGGGCAGCCCCTGAGATATTGGAACACTGCTATCATGTCCCCCCTCGTCCTTCTCTTCGTTAAACTAGACATACCCAATTCCAGCAACTGTTCCTTATATGTATGACTACCACTTCAGTTGAGTTTACTGACATATATCTATAAATTGCATCTCTACTCCATTCTGAAGTTGTTTAGTGAATGCAGTTGTTTGTTTAGTGAATGCAGTTGTATGATCTGAACCATTATTTGCTGACATATGCAATTAAACCCGAATAACCAAAGACCTACATACAAGCACCCGCGAAAACCTCAGAAAACAAATACATACATACATACATACATACATACATACATACATACATACAACTAGCTCCAATATTGAATTTATAGATAAAGCTATTGCTTGCTTCTCTTTCATGTCCTCTTTCAGGGCGTCATTGTGCCCCACGATCAAACTTTAAAAAAAAAAAAGCCCCAAGTCTTAATAAGAGGTGAATCTCTAGACCACAAACAGTTTGGATTTCAAACGGTGAGAAAATTGCTGCTGAATGAATCCGCAGAACCACTTTCATTTCCTGTAGCCTGGATGGAAATGGCCATTCTATTAAGACTTTAGAAGGTGCACTAGGCCTGGAGTAATTTCACAACTGTCAGGCAGAGTTGACATCTAGATTAATCCCTGTGCACTGAATGTTATAACAAAATTCATTGAGATACTGGGGAAATGAGGGGGAAACAATCCCTTG